ATTAACCGAAGAAGTGTTAAATTTATACACAAACTGATAATCAATATTTTCAAAAAATTATTCTAATTTTGGTTTTTTGAATAAAGATTCGTAATATATCTCAAATTGAAGCTCAAAGAGTCTAGTTTAAGATGTAATCAAAATAATATAGGGTTTGATGATATAATTTTGGAGAAAAAAATTCCTGAAAAAAAATGTCAAATAATGACATAAAAAACTTAAAAAAATCGCCCTGAATTTAATTTCAAATTTGAGCTAAATGATTATATTTTGAGATAGGATTAAAAAAATATATGGTTTGATGATATATTTTTGGAGAAAAAGCTTCTGGGAGGAATAATGTCAAAATGTATCAAAAATTAAAGAAATTCAAAAAATTTGTTAACATATGATTCATACCTTAAATTAAAGCCAAAAGAATCTATTTTTAGATAAAGTATAGAATTAAGTGGGGTAGATGCATAAAATTTTTAGAATTCAAATCCTTTATGAAAATCTGTCAATTTGATTTTTGTCAGAAAAAGTAAAAATTTTAAATAATCACCTCAACCTTATTTGGAAGAATTTATAACTTTTTCAAAAATGTATCAAACAATCAAATACCAATCAAACAATGTCAAAAAGAATAATTTGTACTAATGTTCAAAAAGTCAAAATCGTGTTTTTTAGATTATAGTCAAATAGATCAGTAATAGTCAATGCTGGAACAGAAACGATTATGGCAAATGTTTTTGGGGATATTACCGAATATTTTCTAATAATAAAATTTTTTTCCCACACATTTAGTTTTTGAGATATAACCTCACTGCTGTTGAAACCGTCAAAATGGCGTTTTTTAGATTATAGTCAAAAAAATTAGAAATAGTCAATGCTGGAATATAAACGATGATGGAAAATGTTTTTGGGGAGATTAAAGAATATTTTCTAATTACAAAACTATTTTCCCCTACCTTTACTTTCCGAGATATAACCTACCTGTTATACGAAAATGTAAGTTTTATTTTAACATGTTTTTTCTCAATATTTTTCCAATCCAACCCAAGCATTATTATACATCATTTTAAAGAGAAAGCTTTGAACTTTAATTTAAAATAAGTCTCATTCCTTAATTTCAATAAAGACGGTTTCCAGGAATTTTTAAATTAGCATCATTTTTGACACTTTTAGGTTATACGAAAATGTAAGTTTTATTTCAACATTTTTTTTCTCAATATTTTTCCAATCCAACCGAAGCATTATTATACATCATTTTAAAGAGAAAGCTTTGAGCTTTAATTTAAAATAAGTCTCATTCCTTAATTTCAATAAATACGGTTTCCAGGAATTTTTAAATTAGCATCTTTTTTGACACTTTTAGGTTATACGAAAATGTAAGTTTTATTTCAACATTTTTTTTCTCAATATTTTTCCAATCCAACCCAAGCATTATTATACATCATTTTAAAGAGAAAGCTTTGAGCTTTAATTTGAAATAACTCTCATTTCAAAAGATTAAAAGCAGGACGATTTTTGAAATTTTTATATCATTATTTGACATTTCTTTTTCAGGAATTTTTTTCTCCAAAATTATATCATCAAACTCTATACTATTTTATTTACATCTTAAACTAGACTCTTTCAGCTTCAATTTGAGATATATTTCGTATCTTTATTCAAAAAACTAAATTCAGAATGATTTTTTGAATTTTTGTTAAATTTCAACTTTTCGACATTATTCCTCCCAGAAGCTTTTTCTCCAAAAATATATCATCAAACCATATATTATAGATTATATATATATAATCATTCAGCTCAAATTTAACATATATTACGTATCTTAATACAAAAAATTAAATGCAGGACGATTTTTTGAAATTTTTTGTCATTGTTTGATATTTTTTCTTCAAGAATTTTGTTCTCCAAAATTATATCATCAAACCCCATATTATTTTAATTCCATCTTAAATTAAACTCTTTCAGCTTCAATTTGAGATATATTTCGTATCTTTACTCATAAAACTACATTCAAGGCAATTTTTTGAATTTTTGTTAAATTTCAACATTTTGACATTTGAAGCTTTTTCTCCAAAAATATATCATCAAACCATATATTTTTTTAATCCTATCTCAAAATATAATCATTTAGCTCAAATTTGAGATATATTATATTACGCATCTTAATTCAAAAAATTAAATACAGGGCGATCTTTTTAAGTTTTTTGTCATTATTTGACATTTTTTCTTCATTAATTTTTTTCTCCAAAATTATATCATCAAACCCCATATTATTTTAATTCCATCTCAAATTAGACTCTTTCAGCTTCAATTTGAGATATATTTCGTATCTTTATTCAATTGCTTTTCATAATTATTGATGCAATTACTTTTAACAACCTTTAATTGGGATAAATAAACCCCAATTTTTTTTAAAAAGCATTTATTTATACTTATCCTAAGTTCTACAATAACAAAAAAGAGAAATGATCGAAAAATCGCCTCCTTTTTTACAATAAAGTAAAAATTACTCTTACCTAAGATGAAAGACAAAAAAAAACGAGCTTATCTTGGTATTCTTTGTGATTGAAAGTAATTAAAAATAAATATCTTACTTAAATCGTATTCTATCTAGATTCGGGTTTGTTTTTGGGCGGCTTAAACATATTCATTTTTTTCGTCGACTTCGATTTCGGAGGTTTAAAGGATTGCCAACTTTCGACGCGATTTTGACGCGACTCCTTTAGTAATAAAAAAAAAATAACTAAATTAGTATTCAATCGAATTCATTTCAATTTAACGGATTACTTCGAAATTTTTTTGCCATTCCTTCTCAGCTTTTTGTTTCTCCTCTTCTTCTAATTCTTGTTCTCTTTTTCTCTTCCTTTTTTCTTGATTTTCTTGATGAAATTTTACAAAAATGATAAAAATTCGAAAAATTATTTTGAATTTAGTTTTTTGAATAAAGATACGAAATATATCTCAAATTGAAGCTGAAAGAGTCTAGTTTAAGATGTAATCAAAATAATATAGAACTTGATGATATACTTTTGGAGAAAAAAATTCCTGAAGAAAAAATGTCAAATAATGACATAAAAAACTTCAAGAAATCGTGAGAAATCGATTTCTTGGAAAATGTTTATGAAATTTTCACCAATTATCAAGTAAAGTATGCGATTTCCAATGAACAAAGCCGTTTTTGAAAATCTCTTTCAGTTTTTGAGATATTAATTTTTTAACTCAATCGTTTTTATTAAAATTTTGCCATTTTGACGGTTTCAACAGCAGTGAGGTTATATCTCAAAAACTAAGAGTGTGGGAAAAAAGTTTTGTTATTAGAAAATATTCTGTAATATCCCCAAAAACATTTCCCATAATCGTTTATGTTCCAGCATTGACTATTTCTAATTTATTTGAGTATAATCTCAAAAACGCCATTTTGACGGTTTCAACAGCAGTGAGGTTATATCTCAAAAACTAAATGTGGGGGAAAAAGTTTTGTTATTAGAAAATATTCGGTAATATCCCCAAAAACATTTCCCATAATCGTTTATATTCCAGCATTGACTATTTCTAATTTATTTGACTATAATCTAAAAAACGCTAATTTGACGGTTTCAACAGCAGTGAGGTTATATCTCAAAAACTAAGAGTGTAGGAAAAAAGTATTGTTATTAGAAAATACTCTGTAATATTTCCAAAAACATTTTCCATAATCGTTTCTGTTCCAGCATCAATTATTTCGAAGCTATTTCATTATAATCTAAAAAATTCGATTTTGACATTTTGAACATCATTCTAGATTATATCTCGAAAAATAAAAGTAGGGGAAAAAAGTTTTGTTATTACAAAATATTCTTTAATTTCTCCAAAAACATTTTCTATCATCATTTTTGTTCCGACATTGACTATTTCGAACCTATTTGACAATAACCTAAAAACCCCGATTTTGACGTTTTGAACATCATTCTAGGTTATATTTCGAAAAATAAAAGTAGGGGAAAAAAGTTTTGTTATTACAAAATATTCTTTAATCTCTCCAAAAACATTTTCTATAATCATTTCTGTTCCAGCATTGACTATTTCTAATTTATTTGACTATAATCTAAAAACCCTGATTTTGACGTTTTGAACATCATTCTAGATTATATCTCGAAAAATAAAAGTAGGGGAAAAAAGTTTTGTTATTAGAAAATATTCTTTAATCTCTCCAAAAACGTTTTCTATAATCATTTCTGTTCCAGCATTGACTATTTCTAATTTATTTGACTATAATCTAAAAACCCCGATTTGGACGTTTTGAACATCATTCTAGGTTATATCTCGAAAAATAAAAGTAGGGCAAAAAGTTTTGTTATTAGAAAATATTCTTTAATCTCTTCAAAAACGTTTTCTATAATCATTTCTGTTCCAGCATTGATTATTTCTAATTTATTTGACTATAATCTAAAAACCCCGATTTTGACGTTTTGAACATCATTCTAGGTTATATCTCGAAAAATAAAAGTATGGAAGAAAAGTTTTGTTATTAGAAGATATTCTTTAATCTCTCCAAAAACGTTTTCTATAATCATTTCTGTTCCAGCATTGACTATTTCTAATCTATTTGACTATAATCTAAAAACCCCGATTTTGACGTTTTGAACATCATTCTAGGTTATATCTCGAAAAATAAAAGTAGGGGAAAAAAGTTTTGTTATTACAAAATATTCTTTAATCTCTCCAAAAACATTATCTATCATCATTTTTCTTCCAACATTGATTATTTCGAATCTATTTGACTATAATCTAAAAACCCCGATTTTGACGTTTTGAACATCATTGTAGGATTATATCTCGAAAAATAAAAGTAGGGGAAAAAAGTTTTGTTATTACAAAATATTCTTTAATCTCTCCAAAAACATTTTCTATCATCATTTTTGTTCCAACATTGACTATTTGGAACCTATTTGACTATAATCTAAAAATCCCTTCAATTTGAGAAACAATTAATAAATGTTACTTTTTATTGGGATAAATAAACCCCATTTTTTTTTAAAAAGCATTTATTTATACTTATCCTAAGTTATACAATAACAAAAAAGAGAAATGATCGATAAATCGGCTCCTTTTTTACAATAAAGTAAAAATTACTCTTACCTAAGATGAAAGACAAAAAAACCAGGCAAAAAAACGAGCTTATCTTGGTATTCTTTGTGATTGAAAGTAATGAAAAATAAATATCTTACTTAAATCGTATTCTATCTAGATTCGGGTTTGTTTTTGGGCGGCTTAAACATTTTCATTTTTTTCGTCGACTTCGATTTCGAAGATCCCGCCTTAAAGGATTGCCAACTTTCGACGCGATTTTGACGCGACTCCTTTAGTAAGAAAAAAAAAATAACTAAATTAATATTAAATCAAATTAATTTAAATTTAATTACTTCAAAATTTTTTTGCCACTCCTTCTCAGCTTTTTGTTTCTCCTCTTCTTCTAATTCTTGTTCTCTTTTCCTTTTCCTTTCTTCTTGATCCCTTTCGGCTAGCTCTCGCCTCTTTCTTTCCATATCTGCAAAAAGTTTCATTGTCAGAACATAAATGGCGTGTTTGTACTTTTCGGGGTCATCCTCAGGAACAGAGTCTTTTCCCTCTTTTTTTGCTTTCTTTCGTTTTTCTGCCAACTATAACAATGAAACAACTCCATATTATAAGTGTTATCACAAAATTCACCCAAACCTCACACAAAGAGAATATAAAACCATCCAATTAACAAAATTAACCAACTTTTCTCTCATTTTTAAGTTACCCACCATTAAATCAGTCCTTCCTTTCGCCTCCTCAACAATATCCATGCATTTTTTTCTAGATTCCTCACTTTCTAGCGTCCTCCAGGCCCTATTAACCACCTCAAAAGCCTGTTGGGCACGCTCTGCATCGTCTTGGTTCTTATCCGGATGTACTAAAATTGATAACCTTCGATATTTCTTTTTAATTTCTTCGATGGGGATTTCTGGCTCAACTTGGAGCACTTCGAATGGGTTTAAATTAAAATACGTCGAGCCAGGTCGTAATAGGCGCTCTATTTGTTGTTTTGGTGTTAAAACGGAATCTCTTTTCTCGATTTCTTTCACCTAAAATTAAAAATAAGCAAAATGAGTTGGGATAACCTCACTTTTTTTTGGGGGGGTTTTAAGGGCTTACCTCCGTGTAAAACTCGTTAAACGCTACTTCTTTTCGTTCCGTAACCGCCGGTTGTGCCATGTCATTTAAAATATCGCTAAAAAAGTTGTTATTTTTTTTTTGAGAAGATTATTTATGTATACAAATTTTTGACATTTCTTATGTCAGTTTTAAACTGTCAAAAAACCGCTTTGTTTGCCTTTTATTTAAATAATTAAATTTGTATTTTAATTAATTTAATCAATTAATAAATCAAAATAATGCTTTATCTACAAAAACATAAGATTTATTATTAATAATAAAGAAATAAATTTATTTGATTATTGATGCGAAAACATTACAGGTTTCTGTAAAATCCTATTTGTGGTAGAAATCGAAAAATAATACACACTTTATTTTTAAGAACTAAGTAATGATTTATTTACTAAATTAAAGCTTAAACTTTAATCATTGTTTCTATGCATAATAAGAAATGCGTTTAATTAAACAATTTTTTTTGTAAAATCGAAAAATGTCAAGCTTTAAACAATCAGAACAACTTTATTTTTAAGAACTAAGAAATGATGTTATTGTTAAATTAAAGCTTAAACTTTAATCTTTGAGCTCCCACGTGTTACGTTTAATAACTTGAAAGAGCAACAAATTCAGCAAATTTTCATATTTTCGTATTTATCTCAATATTGACGCATCTAAGAGCAAAAGTGCAAGAGAGCAATATTGTTAACAATAAGATTTGCAACAATTTTTGTTATAAAAGTTTTCTTATAGCAAGCTCCGATTCCCAAGTGTTACCTTTAATATCTTGAAAGAGCAACAAATTTAGCAAATTTTCGTGTATATCTTGATATTGACGCATTAAAGAGCAAAAATGTAAGAGAGCGATATTGTTAAGAATAAAATTTGCAACAATTTTTATTACAAAAGTTTTTTTATAGCAAGCTCCGATTCCCAAATGTTACCTTTAATATCTCGAAAGTGTAACAAATTCATCAAATTTTCGTGTATATCTCGATATTGACGCATATAAGAGCAAAAATGTAAGGGAGCGATATTGTTAAGAATAAAATTTGCAACAATTTTTGTTATAAAAGTTTTTTTATGGCAAGCTCTGATTCCCGAATGTTACCTTCAATATCTTGAAAAAGCAACAAATTCATCAAATTTTCGTGTAAATCTCGATATTGACGCATCTAAGAGCAAAAATGCAAGAGAGCAATATTGTTAACAATAATATTTGCAACAATTTTTGTTATAAAAGCTTTTTTATGGCAAGCTCCGATTCCCGAATGTTACCTTCAATATCTTGAAAAAGCAACAAATTCATCAAATTTTCGTGTATATCTCGATATTGACGCATCTAAGAGCAAAAATGCAAGAGAGCAATATTGTTAACAATAATATTTGCAACAATTTTTGTTATAAAAGCTTTTTTATGGCAAGCTCCGATTCCCAAATGTTACCTATATCTTGAAAAAGCAACAAATTCATCAAATTTTCGTGTATATCTCGATATTGACGCATTTAAGAGCAAAAATGCAAGAGAGCAATATTGTTAAGAATAAAATTTGCAACAATTTTTCATATAAAAGTTTTTTTATGTGCAAGCTCCGATTCCCAAATGTTACCTTTAATATCTTGAAAGAGCAACAAGTTTATCAAATTTCGTGTATATCTCGATATTGACGCATCTAAGAGCAAAAATACAAGAGAGCAATATTGTTAACAATAATATTTGCAACAATTTTTGTTATAAAAGTTTTTTTATGGCAAGCTCCGATTCCCAAATGTTACCTATATCTTGAAAGAGCAACAAATTCATCAAATTTTCGTGTATATCTCGATTTTGACGCATTTAAGAGCAAAAATGCTAGAGAGTGATATTGTTAACAATAAAATTTGGAACAATTTTTGTTATAAAAGTTTTTTTGTGGCAAGTTCCGATTCCCAAATGTTACCTATATCTTGAAAGAGCAACAAATTCATCAAATTTCGTGTATATCTCGATATTGACGCATCTAAGAGCAAATATGCAAGAGAGTGATATTGTTAAGAATAAAATTTGCAACAATTTTTGTTATAAAAGTTTTTTTATGGCAAGCTCTGATTCCCGAATGTTACCTTTAATATCTCTAAAGAGCAACAAATTCATCAAATTTTCGTGTATATCTCGATATTGACGCATTTAGGAGCAAAAGTGCAAGAGAGGAATATTGTTAACAATAAAATTTGCAACAATTTTTGTTATAAAAGTTTTTTTACGGCAAGCTCCGATTCTCAAGTGTTACCTTTAATATCTTGAAAGAGCAACAAATTCATCAAACTTTAAAGAATCATATCAACTTTAAGAAATGATTTTTTTATTAAATTAAAGCATAAACTTTGACCTTTCTTTGTATGTGTAATAAGTAATACATTTAATGATAAAGTTTTTTTGTAAAGTTGAAAAATATTAATGTTTAATTGTAGCAAAAATCGAAAATCTTTGTTAAACTTTAAAAAATCATAACGACTTTATTTTTAGGAACTAAAAAATGATTTTTTTATTAAATTAAAGTTTAAACATTGATCTTTATTTCTATGCATAATAAGTAATACGTGTTATGATTAAGTTTTTTTGTTAAATCGGAAATCGCCATAGTTTAATTGTAGCAGAAATCGAAAATTTTTGTTAAACTTTAAAAAATCATACCGAGTTTATTTTTAGGAACAAAGAAATGATTTTTTTATTAAATTAAAGTTCAAACTTTGATCTTTGTTTCTATGCATAATAAGTAATACGTTTTACCATAAAGTTTTTTTGTTATTACCGACTTTAGCGACGAAAGTATTCAATTTTGGCATTTTGACGATTTTCACTTCCTAACTAGAATATGGTTGCAACTGAGCTAATTCTAGTTATGGATTATGTTTTTATGGTTCATTCTAAACAATTTATGTCTAAAAGATTTTCCTGCATCACCTTTAGTTTGTCAGTTATCACCTACTTTAGCAACGAAAGTATTCAATTTTGGCATTTTGACGATTTTCACTTCCTAACTAGAATATTGTTACAACCGAGCAAGTTCTAGTTATGGATTATGTCTTTATGGTTCATTCTAAACAATTTATGTCTAAAAAATTTTCCTGCATCACCTTTAGTTTGTCAGTTATCACCTACTTTAGCAACGAAAGTATTCAATTTTGGCATTTTGAGGATTTTCACGTCCTAACTAGAATATGGTTATAACTGCTAACTTTATTTCTATGCATACAAGTAATGTTTGATGATAAAGTTATTTTGAATGACAAAAAAAATTGATTGAAAAGGTTGGAATGATAATTATTTAAGTGGATATTATTCGAAAATGTAAGGTAGAAAAGTCTGCGTAAATAAATATATATTAAGCTAATTGTAATGTGTTCTTCACCGGTTAGTTATTGAAAGTATGGCAGTTATGAAATGTTTGTTTTTGTATTGAAATATCTAGTTAACTCAAGCTAATTAATATTTCTTAATTATTCACTAAGTAATTTTCAAAATAATCATATATAATTGGTTTTCTTTTTAAAAGGTTGTAATTTTTTCGATGACGACATTTGGAACTTGCAAAAAACTAAAAAAATAATAAATATAAAATAACCTATAATAACTTTTGAATAATGATATGGCCGGATTTATTCTTTCTTTAAAACTCTACACAATATTTATGTGCTAATTTTGTACTACATTAAAAATTCTTGTAATCATTTACAATTTTCTTTATACATATCAAAGAGGGGGTGTAGCTGGACGTTCAGTTACATAAGAAATTTGCTTAGAGTACTCAATTAGTCTTTTTGCAAAACTTGGAAATATGTAGGGATTTGGTTCATATTCTTGTATTTTTCTTCATATCTATGAACAATAGAGCAAAAATGCAAGAGAGTAATATTGTTAAGAATAAAATTTGCCACAACTTTAGTTCTAAAACTTTTTTTGTAACTTGCTCCAATTTCCGAGTTTTATCATTGACTTGAAAAAGCAACAAATTCATCCAATTTTCATATTCTTGTATTTTTCTTGATATCTATGAACAATAGAGCAAAAGTGCAAGAGAGCAATATTGTTAAGAATAAAATTTGTCACAACTCTAGTTCTATATTTCTTTTGTAACTTGCTCCGATTTCCGAGTTTTATCATTGTCTTGAAAAAGCAACAAATTCATCAAACTTTCATACTTTTGTATTTTTCTCGATATCTTTGAACAATAGAGCAAAAGTGCAAGAGAGTAATATTGTTAAGAATAAAATTTGCCACAACTTTACTTCTAAAACTTTTTTTGTAACTTGCTCCGATTACCGAGTTTTACCATTGCCTTGAAAAAACAACAAATTCATCAAATTTTCATATTCTTGTATTTTTCTTGATATCTATGAACAATAGAGCAAAAGTGTAACAAAGCAATATTGTTAAGAATAAAGTTTGCCACAACTTTAGTTCTAAAATTTTTTTTGTAACTTGCTCCGATTTTCGAGTTTTACCATTGTCTTGAAAAAGCAGCAAATTCATCAAATTCTCATATTCTTGTATTTTTCTCGATATCTATGAACAATAGAGCAAAAGTGCAAGAGAGTAATATTGTTAAGAATAAAATTTGCCACAACTTTAGTTCTAAAACTTTTTTTGTAACTTGCTCCGATTTCCGAGTTTTACCATTGTCTTGAAAAAGTAACAAATTCATAAAATTTTTATATTTTCGTACCAATCTCGTCATTGACGTATCTAAGAGCAAAAGTGCAAGAAAGCAATATTGTTAGCAATCAAATTTGCAACAATTTTTATTATAAAAGTTTTGTCATAGCAAGCTCCGATTTCCAAATGTTACCTTAATAACTTGAAAAAGTAACAAATTTTCGTGTATATCTCGACATTGACGCATCTAAGAGCAAAAATGCAAGAGAGCAATATTGTTAACAATAAAATTTGCAACAATTTTTGTTATAAAAGTTTTTTTATGGCAAGCTCCGATCTCCAAATGTTACCTTTAATATTTCGAAAGAGCAACAAATCTAGCAAATTTTCGTGTATATCTCGATATTGACGTATTTAAGAGCAAAAGTGCAAGAGAACAATATTGTTAAGAATAAAACTTGCAACATTTTTTGTTATAAAAGTTTTTTTATGGCAAGCTCCAATTCCCAGGTAACACCTTTAATATCTCGAAAAAGCAACAAATTTAGCAAATTTTCGTGTATATCTCGATATTGACGCATTTAAGAGCAAAAATGTAAGAGAGCAATATTGTTAACAATAAAATTTGCAACAATTTTTGTTATAAAAGTTTTTTTATGGCAAGCTCCGATTCCCAAATTTTACCTATATCTTGAAAGAGAAACAAATTCATCAAATTTTCGTGTATATCTCGATTTTGACGCATTTAAGAGCAAAAATGCAAAAGAGTGATATTGTTAAGAATAAAATTTGCAACAATTTTTGTTATAACAGTATTTTTATGGCAAACTCCGATTCCCAAATGTTACCTATGTCTTGAAAGAGCAACAAATTCATCAAATTTTCGTGTATATCTCGATATTGACGCATTTATGACCAAAAATGTAAAATAGCGATATTGTTAAGAATAAAATTTGCAACAATTTTTGTTACAAAAGTTTTTTTATGGTAAGCTCCGATTCCCATATGTTACCTTTAATATCTTGCAAGAGCAACAAATTTAGCAAATTTTCGTGTATATCTCAATTTTGACGCATCTAAGAACAAAAATGGAAGAGAACGATATTGTTAACAATAAAATTTGCAAGAATTTTTGTTATAAAAGTTTTTTTATGGCAAGCTCCGATTCCGAAATGTTACCTATATCTTGAAAGAGGAACAAATTTATCAAATTTGGTGTATATCTCGATATTGACGCATTTTAGAGCAATAATGCAAGAGAGCGATCTTATTAAGAATAAAATTTGCAATAACTTTTGTTATAAAAGTTTTTTTATGGCAAGCTCCGATTTCCAAACGTTACCTATATCTTGAAAGAGCAACAAATTCATCAAATTTTCGTGTATATCTCAATTTTGACGCATCTAAGAACAAAAATGCAAGAGAACAATATTGTTAACAATAAAATTTGCAACAATTTTTGTTCTAAAAATTTTTTTATAGCAAGCTCCGATTCCCAAGTGTCACCTATAATACCTTGAAAGAGCAAATTAAACTGGCATACTTTCAATAATACGTTTAGCTTAATATTTATTTACCCGGACTTTTCCACCTACATTTTCCACGTAAATTGTCATTCCAACCTTGAGCGAAGGTTGCGCATTATTAAAATACCACAGGCGATACGTGCATTATTTTTCCACAAGTTAAAACTAAACTTTGTTACAAACATGTTCTACTTATTAATCCTTTTTTTAGCCCTCGCTTGTGGCCAAAAAGACTATCGATTGCCAAAAATCGTCAAACCGATTTTGTACGAAATTTCCATAACAATTCACGATGATTTTCCAACCACCAAGAAATTCGCAGGATTCGTTAAAATGAACGTCGAAGTCCTTCAAGAAACCAAACAAGTTATTTTGCATTCTTCCAACATTACGTATCAAAAATCCAACAAATTCAACATCACCTTTGAGGAAGATGTTGAAAAGATGATTTTAACATTTAAAGACCCTTTAGAAGTGGGTCAACATCTCTTTGAATTTAAATACGAAGGGGTTTTATTCGAAGATATGAATGGATTTTATTTAAGTTATTACAACGATGAAGAAATTAACGAAAAGCAGTAAGAAAATTAATTTTTTTTTAATAAAGTTGTACAAATTAATGATTTTTTTTGAATTAGATGGATCGCAACGACCCAATTCGAATCGGTTTATGCAAGACGAGCTTTCCCCTGCTTCGATGAACCCGAATTTAAAGCCCAATTTCAAATTAACATCACAAAACCGAAAGATTTTAGCACCCTCTCAAATACTTTACTTATTAAATCAAAAAATCATAAAAACCAACCAAATTTAACAACAGACGTTTACAAAACAACCCCTAAGATGTCTTCTTACCTCGTGGCTTTTATTATATCAAAATTTAAAAGCTACACCGATTTGAATCGTATAGCCGATAAAAAATTTGATATTTTCGGTACAAAATCGATGTTAAAAATAGCAAAACACGCTTATGATTGTGGGCAAAAAGCGATTGATAGATTATCGAAGTACACTTCGATTAATTATTACGAAGCGGGGATTCCCAAAATGGATTTGGTTGCAATACCGGATTTTAATGCAGGGGCGATGGAAAATTGGGGTTTGGTTACGTTTAGAGAGACGGATTTGTTGTATGATGAAGAGGAATCTCCTGCTGCTTACGAAGCAGAAGTTGCGGTTGTGGTAACTCACGAGTTGGTCCATCAATGGTTTGGGAACATGGTGACGATGGAATGGTGGTCCTCTACGTGGTTGAATGAAGGATTTGCGGAATATTTTAGCCATTATGTTACTGATATGGTGAGTTTTTTAACACATGAGAATCGAATAAGAAAACTTTTATAACAAAAATTGTTGCAAATTTTATTGTTAACAATATTGCTCTCTTGCACTTTTACTATTAGATGCGTCAATATCGTGATAGGTACGAAAATATGAAAATTTGATGAATCTGTAGCTGGTTCAAGTTATTATAGGTAACACTTGGGAATTGGAGCAGGCTATAAGAAAACTTTTATAACAAAAATTATTGCAAATTTTATTGTTAACAATATTGCTCTCTTGCACTTTTGCTCTTAAATACGTCAATATCGAGATAGATACGAAAATATGAAAATTTGTTACTCTTTCAAGTTATAGGTAACACTTGAGAATCGGAGCTTGCTATAAGAAAACTTTTATAACAAAAATTGTTGCAAATTTTATTGCTAACTATATTGCTCTCTTGCACTTTTGCTCTTAGATACGTCAATATCGAGATAGATAAGAAAATATGAAAATTTTATAGATTTCGTTGTTTTACAAATTGTTAATGGTAACACTTGGAAAATGGAGCATGTTATAAAAAAACTTTTGGAACGAAAGTTGTAGCTAATCTTATTCTTAACAATATTGCTCTCTTGTATATTTGCTCTCAGATTCGTCAATATTGAAAAAAATACGAAAATTTGAAAATTCGATGAATTTCCGTATTTTACGATTAGCTAATGGTAACATTTGGGAATTGGATCATGTTATCAAAAAACTTTTATAACAAAAGTTGTAGCAAATTTTGTTTTTAATAATATTGCTCTCTTGTATATTTGTTCTCAGATGCGTCAATATTGAGAAAAATACGAAAATTTAAAAAGTTGAACTTTCTTGTTTTATTATCAGTTAATGATAACATTTGGGAATCGGAGCATGTCATCAAAAAACTTTTATAACAAAAGTTGTAGCATATTTTGTCTTTAACAATATTGCTCTGTTGTATATTTACTCTCAGATGCATCAATATTGAGAAAAATACGAAAATTTAGAAAATTGATGAATTTCCTTGTTTTACTATTAGCGAATGGTAACATTTGGGAATCGGAGCATGTCATCAAAAAATTTTTCTAACAAAAGTTGTAGCTAATTTTGTTCTTAACAATATTGCTCTCTTGCACTTTTGCTCTTAAATGCGTCAATATCGAGATAGATACGAAAATATGAAAATTTTATGAATTTGTTGCTTTTTCAAGTGATTAAATGTAACCCTTAGGAATCGCAACATGTTACAAAAGAACTTTTAGCACAAAAGTTGTAGCAAATTTTATTGTTAACAATATTGCTCTCTTGCATTTTTGCTCTTAGATACGTCAATATCGAGGTAGATACGAAAATATGAATATTTGAAAAATTTGTTTCTTTTCCAAGATATTAAAGGTAACACTTGAGAATGGGAGCATGTTATAAAAAAACTTTTAGAACAAAAGTTGTAGCAAATTTTATTCTTAATAATATTGCTCTCTTGCACTTTTGCTCTCAGATGCGCCAATATTAAGAAAAATACGAAAATTTAAAAAATGGATGAATTTTCTTGTTGTACTATTAGCTAGTGGTAACCTTTGGGAATCGGAACATGTTATCAAAAAACTTTTAAAACAAAAGCTGTAGCAAATTTTGTTCTTAACAATGTTGCTCTGTTGTATATTTGCTCTCAGTTGCGTCAATATTGAGAAAAATACGAAAATTTAAAAAATTGATGAATTTTATTGTTTTACTATTAGTTAATGGTAACATTTGGGAATCGGAGCATGTCATCAAAAAACTTTTATAACAAAAGTTGTAGCTAATTTTGTTTTTAACAATATTGCTCTCTTGCACTTTTGTTATTAGATGCGTCAATATCGAGGTAGATACGAAAATATGAAAATTTTATGAATTTGTTGCTCTTTCAAGTTATTAAAGGTAACACTTGAGAATCTGAGCTTGCTATAAAAAAACTTTTATAACAAAAATTGTTGCAAATTTTATTGTTAACAATATTGCTCTCTTGCACTTTTGTTCTTAGATACGTCAATATCGAGATAGATACGAAAGCATGAAAATTTGATGAATTTTTTGCTTTTTCAAGTGATTAAAGGTAATCCTTAGGAATCGCAGTATGTTACAAAACAACTTTTAATACAAAAGTTGTAGTAAATCTTATTTTTAACGATACTGCTCTCTTGCACTTTTGCTCTTAAATGCGTCAATATCGAGAAAAGTACAAAACTATGAAAATTTTATGAATTTGTTGCTTTTTCAAGTGATTATAGGTAATATTCGGGAATCGCTACGTCTTACAAAAAAATTTTTACAATAAAAGTTATAGCAAATTTTATCGTTAACAATATTGCTCTCTTGCATTTTTGCTCTTAGATGCGTCAATATTTATTTTGATAATATTATATTTTGAACCGTCTTCAAATTAGGCAGAAGGTTCTCTTATGACATGTACTGTATATTCCAACGATCTGGCAACGTTGCTCGAGCGACATAGGCGTATCGCTGGAATATACTTTTACAGTGCCGGCGCTAGCAAATGAAGCGCCAGGGTGCGGGAACCGGAGTGGCGCCCCCCCAAGCATTTTGGGCGGAATGCGAAATTATACATAACGTGGGCAAAAGACTAAATGCTGCTTCTAAAAAACCAACTACTGCTTTCTAAAGACTAAAATTGCTTTGGTTATAACTGAGCAAATTCTAGTTATGGCTTATGTCCTTATGGTTCATTATAAACAATTTATATCTAAAAGATTTTCCTGCATCACCTTTAGTTTGTCAGTTATCACCTACTTTATCAACGAAAGTATTCAATTTTGTCATTTTGACGATTTTCACTTCCTAACTAGAATATGGTTACAACTGAGCAAATTCTAGTTATGGATAATGTCTTTATGGTTCATTCTAAACAATTTATGTCTAAAAGATTTTCCTGCATCACCTTTAGTTTGTCAGTTATCACCTACTTTAGCACCCTCTCAAATACTTTACTTATTAAATCAAAAAATCATAAAAACCAACCAAATTTAACAACCGACGTTTACAAAACAACCCCTAAAATGTCTTCTTACCTCGTTGCTTTTATAATATCAAAATTTAAAAGCTACACCGATTTGAATCGTATAACCGATAAAAAATGTGATATTTTCGGTACAAAATCGATGTTAAAAATAGCCAAGCACGCTTATGATTGCGGCCAAAAAGCGATTGATAGATTATCGAAGTACACTTCGATTAATTATTACGAAGCGGGGATTCCCAAAATGGATTTGGTTGCGATACCGGATTTTAATGCAGGGGCGATGGAAAATTGGGGTTTGGTTACGTTTAGAGAGACGGATTTGTTGTATGATGAAGAGGAATCTCCTGCTGCTTACGAAGCGGAAGTTGCGGTTGTGGTAACTCACGAGTTGGTCCATCAGTGGTTTGGGAATATGGTGACGATGGAATGGTGGTCCTCTACGTGGTTGAATGAGGGATTTGCGGAGTATTTTAGCCATTATGTTACTGATATGGTGAGTTTTTTAACACATGAGAATACTTAAGAAGAAAACTTTTATAACAAAAATTGTTGCAAATTTTATTGTTAACAATATTGCTCTCTTGCACTTTTGCTCTTAGATACGTCAATATCGAGATAGATACGAAAATATGAAATTTTGTTACTCTTTCAAGTTATAGGTAACACTTGAAAATCGGAGCTTGCTATAAGAAATCTTTTATAACAAAAGTTGCTGCAAATTTTATTGTTAACAATATTGCTCTCTTGCACTTTTGTTCTTAAATGCGTCAATATCGAGATAGATACGAAAATATGAAAATTTGTTACTCTTTCAAGTTAAAGGTAACACTTGAGAATCGGAGCTTGTTATAAGAAAACTTTTATAACAAAAATTGTTGGAAATTTTATTGTTAACAATATTGTTCTCTTGCACTTTTGCTCTTAGATGCGTCAATATCGAGATAGATACGAAAATACGAAAATTTTTTAATTTTTTTGCTTTTTCAAGTGATTATAGGTAATACTCGGGAATCGCTGTCTTACAAAAAAATTTTTACAATAAAAGTTGTAGCAAATCAGTATTTGTAGTACAAATTATAAGCTTTCTAATGAAAGAAACGGATTTTAAAAAACACATTTAGTATTTGAGATATTAACTTTTACACAAAACGCGGTTTTATTCATTTTCTAGGGGAACAATTATTTCTATTGAATTTTCAAAAAATCGCTATATCATCATTTGTAGTACAAATTATAATCTTTCCAATGACCCAAACAGATTTTCAAAATATCTTTTTGTTTTTGAGATATTAATTTTTAAACATCTCAAGGAACTTTTGCATTTTTTAGGATAAACAATCATTTTCAAAAAATCGTAATAAATCACAGCTTTAACGAATTCTTATGAAATTACCAATATTTATAGTAAAAATTATAATCTTTCCAATGACCAAACCAGATTTTCAAAATATCTTTTTGTTTTTGACATATTAATTATTAAACATCTCAAGCCACTTTTACATTTTTTAGGAAAACAATAATTTTCAAAAAATCGTAATAAATCACAGCTTTAAAAAATTCTTATGAAATTATCAGTATTTATAGAATAAATTATAAGCTTTCCAATGAATTTAATGGATTTTCAAAATATCATTTAGTTTTTTAGGTATTAATGTATAAGCATAGTGCTATTTTATTCATTTTCTTATATCTACTGAAGTTTCAAAAAATCGCAATAAATCGGGATTTCAATAAATCTTTATGACATTATCACCATTTGTAGTACAAATTATAAGCTTTCCAATGAAACTAATGGATTTTGAAAATATCATTTAGTTTTTGAGATATTAAGTTTTAAACACAGTAAGAAATTTTATCGCATTACGAGATAAACAATTATTTTTAATCACTTTCAAAAGATCATAACAAATTGGACTTTCAATAAGTCTTTATGAAATTATCAGCTCTTATGCTACAAATCATGAGCTTTCCAATGCAACAAGCGGATTCATCAATATATCTTTTAGTTTTTGAGTTATTAAGATTTAAACAATTTAAAAGCACTAAATTTGCCCAAAATAATTTAATGTTGGCTACGTAATGTAAACTTAACTAATTATTTAAAATCGCAAAAATTCTTTATTAATTACATAAACACGTCATGTTTTATTATCTTTCATAATCTTTTACATTTTAACAATTTTATGTTTTAATTCAATAATAATTATTGACGGTTTTTTCGCGATAAAATTAGTAAAATCATTTTCGATACACCATCACATTGGAAAACAAGAATCCAAATAAAAAAAAATATATCTAATGAAAAAATTGTTTATTTACTTTGAAAGTAGATAAAAAGAATAGAACAGGAATAGAAAATAGGTAAAACAACACTATTATAAACTATTTTATCAAAACTATATGAAAAGTGCAATTTTTAGGAAAAAATCATTTTCAAAAAATCGTAATAAATCACAGCTTTAATAAATTCTTATGAAATTATCAGTATTTATAGAACAAATTATAATCTTTCCAATGTACCAAACAGATTTTCAAAATATCTTTTTGTTTTTGAGATATTAATTTTTGAACATCTCAATTTTTAGAAAAACAATAATTTTCAAAAAATCGTAATAAATCACAGCTTTAATGAATCGCAGTATGTTACAAAAAAACTTTTAGCACAAAAGTTGTAGCAAATTTTATTGTTAACAGTATTGCTCTCTTGCACTCTTGCTCTTAGATACGTCAATATCGAGGTAGATACGAAAATATGAAAATTTGATGAATTTGTTGCTTTTTCACGTGATTAAAGGTAACATTTATGAATCGCAGTATGTTACAAAAAAACTTTTAGAACAAAAATTGTTGCAAATTTTATTGTTAACAATATTGCTCTCTTGCACTTTTGTTCTTAGATGCGTCAATATCGAGATAAATACGAAAATATTTAAAATAAAACTAAACGATTTTTGTAATGAAAATCAAGACTGGTTAATTTGGCAATTTACATCATCTAACTAATGATTGATTACAATTAATCTTAATCTGGTTATGGATTATGTATTCTTGATTTATTATAAACAATTTATGTCAGAAATATTTTCCCCCATCGCATTTAGTTATTTAATTACGATTGATTTTAACAACAAAAATCATTAATTTTAGCTATTTTGACGATGTTCACTTTCTAACCAAAATATTATTATAACTGAGTAAAATTTGATGATGAATTATGTCTTTTTAGGTCATTATAAACAATTTATATATACGCAATGATTTTCATCATTGTTGTTAATTTTTGTGTTATGAACGAGTTAGGCAACGAAAATCAATAATTTGGCTATTTTTCAAGATATTAAAGGTAACACTTGGAATTCGGAGCATGCTATAAGAAAACTTTTATAACAAAAATTGTTGCAAATTTTATTGTTAACAATATTGCTCTCTTGCACTTTTGCTCTTAGATACGTGAATATTAAGGTAGATACGAAAATATGAAAATTTGATGAATCTGTAGTTAGTTCAAGTTATTATAGGTAACACTTGGGAATAGGAGCTTGCTATAAGAAAACTTTTATAACAAAAATTGTTGCAAATTTTATTGTTAACAATATTGCTCTCTTACACTTTTGCTCTTAGATGCGTCAATATCGAAATAGATATGAAAATATGAAAATTTGATGAATCTATAGCTGGTTCATGATATAATATCATGAACCAGCTAACAGCTAACCAGGTAACACTTGGGAATTGAAACAAATGTTTCATCTTCAGTACCTGTTTTACGAAAAAGAAAAAATTTAACAAACGTTAAACGGAACTACAATAATAACATTAAAAGGTGAAAGTATCGGATTTGAAAAAGTAAACTTACTTGAAATAATTACAAAACGATGGAAAAATTTTAAAATATGTTGGAAATAGGAACGAGTTTTGGTTTCCTTTCTTAAAATACAAAATATTTGTACAAAATTTTTTACAAAATCATAATAAATAAAATTCTTGGAAATTAACTTATGTTAAGGGTGTGATCGTAAAAACATTATATTAATAGTACACGTACTGAATTCGAAATGCGGAAAACTAAATCTAAAAATTTGACGAGCAATCATTTGAATTTGTGGAATTTGTGGTAAATTGGAGCATGTTATAAAAAAACTTCTGGAACGAAAGTTGTAGCTAATCTCATTCTTAACGATATTGCTCTCTTGTATATTTGCTCTCAGATTCGTCAATAATTAGAAAAATACGAAAATTGAAAAATTTCATGAATTTCCTTGTTTTGCAATTAGCTAATGGTATCATTCGGGAATAGAAGCATGTTACAAAAATACTTTTAGAACAAAAATTGTTGCAAATTTCATTCTTAATAATATTGTTCTTTTACACTTTTATTCTCAGATGCATAGAAATCGAGAAAAATACGAAAATTTAGAAATTTGATGAATTTCCTTGTTTTACTATTAGCTAATGGTAACATTTGGGAATCAGAGCATGTTATCAAAAAACTTTTACAACAAAAGTTGTAGCTAATCTTATTCTTAACAATATTGTTCTCTTGTATATTTGCACTCAGATGCGTCAATATTGACAAAAATACGAAAATTTAAGAATTTGATGAATTTCCTTGTTTTACTATTAGCTAATGGTATCATTCGGGAATTGAAGCATGTTACAAAAATACTTTTAGCACAAAAGTTGTAGCAAATTTCATTCTTAACAATATTGCTCCCTTGTATTTTTGCTCTCAGATGTGTCAATATCGAAAAAAATACGAAAATATGAAAATTTGATGAATTTCTTTGTTTTACTATTAGCTAATGGTAACAATCGGGAATCGAAGCATGTTACAAAAATACTTTTACAACAAAAGTTGTAGCAAAATTTATTGTTAACAATATTGCTCTCTTACACTTTTGCTCTTAGATGCGTCAATATCGAGATAGATACGAAAATATGAAAATTTGATGAATTTCCTTGTTTTACTATTAGCTAATGGTAACATTTGGTAATCGGAGAACTTTACAGAAAATCAAAAATTGTAGAAAATTTTATTCTTAACAATATTACTCCCTGTCACTTTTGCTCTCAGGCGCATAGATATCGAGAAAAATACGAAAATATGAAAATCCGTAGGGAAAGCGAGTGAGGTGGAAAAATTAGTTAGGGTTATTTTCAAAAAATCATATAAAATCGAATTTTTAATGAATCAAAACGAAATTATCACCACTTTTACTCAAAATCATAACCTTTTTAGCAAAAAAGACCGTTTTTGAAAATATCGTTTACTTTCTGAGATAAAGCATTTTTAAATTGAGCCGATTCTTCATAACAAAATTACACACCTTAATTTTTAATAAATCGCCAAAAATCGGGTATTTAAGATATCGCAACGCAATTTTCAAAAATTATAGAGTCAAGTGTCACCTTTTCAATGAATCAAACCGATTTTGAAAATATCTTTTAGTTTTTAAGATAAAAATTTTTAATCGCAACGATGTCCTTTTTTGGATAAATAAATTAAGTAATATTTTTGATTGAAACAAAAAAAATCGTATCTCAAAAACTAATTGAGATATAACCATGAGATATGAAGCATTTTGAAGCAAATTTAATCAAGATTTAGTGTGGAAAAAATTATTTCTTAATTCCCATAAATCCCATAAATAAATGTTCAAGATTCATTTTCTAAATTCTTAAATTTTTGGCATTATCGAAAATTTTATCAAAACTTCAAACATTGTTTTTTCAAAAACTAAAAGTAATTTTTCAAAACGGGTTGGTTCATTGGAAAGAGGACGCTTTTATTAACATTTTGGGAAATTTTTATATTTATATTCCAAGAAGTTGATTTTATACGAATTTTTAAACCTTAATCGGCGAAAATTGCAAAATTCGAAAATCATTTCAAAAATTTTTTTCTCAAGAACTAAAAGTGATTTTTCAAAACGGCTTTTTGCATTAAAAAGAGGATACTTTAATTAATAATTGTTGATATTTCCACAAGGATTCTTCAAGGAATTAATTTTATACCGAATTTTAAAAATTATCGATGAAAATTGCGACATCGAAAATTTTATCAAAACTTTAAACATTGTTTTCTCAAAAACTAAAAGTTATTTTTCAAAACGGGTTGGTTCATTGGAAAGAGGACACTTTTATTAACATTTTGGGAAATTTTCATATTATAATACGAAAATTTAAAAATTTCATGAATTTCCTTTATTTACTAATTATGGTATCATTCGGGAATTGAAGCATGTTACAAAAATACTTTTAGCACAAAAGTTGTAGCAAATTTCATTCTTAACAATATTGCTCCCTTGTATTTTTGCTCTCAGATGTGTCAATATCGAAAAAAATACGAAAATATGAAAATTTGATGAATTTCTTTGTTTTACTATTAGCTAATGGTAACAATCGGGAATCGAAGCATGTTACAAAAATACTTTTACGACAAAAGTTGTAGCCAAATTTATTGTTAACAATATTGCTCTCTTACACTTTTGCTCTTAGATGCGTCAATATCGAGATAGATACGAAAATATGAAAATTTGATGAATTTCCTTGTTTTACTATTAGCTAATGGTAACATTTGGTAATCGGAGCATGTTATCAAAAAACTTTTAGAACAAAAGTTGTAGCAAATTTTGTTTTTTCTTAACAATATTGCTCTCTTGCATTTTTGCTCTTAGATGCGTCAATATCGAGGTAGATACGAAAACATGAAAATTTGATGAATTTGTTGCTTTTTCAAGAGATTATAGGTAATACTCTGGAATCGCTGCGTCTTACAAAAAAATTATTACAATAAAAGTTGTAGCAAATTTTATTGTTAACAATATTGCTCTCTTGCACTTTTGCTCTTAGATACATCAATATCGAGGCAGATACGAAAACATGAAAATTTGATGAATTTGTTGCGTTTTCAAGAGATTATAGGTAATACTCGGGAATCGCTGCGTTTTACAAAAAAAATTTTACAATAAAAGTTATAGCAAACTTTATTGTTAACAATATTGCTCTCTTGCATTTTTCTCTTGCATTTTCAATATCTATTTTGACAATATAATATTTTGGACCGTCTTCAAATTAATATGAAAGTAAAATACCCAAGGAAATTTTTAGCTTAAACAATGTATTTTTTATATATAAATTCGGTGCGACACGTGTTTCGTCTTTTACGACATCAACAGGCACGACTACAAAATAAATAACAAGAGAAGAGACTGTTAGCGGTTATAATAATAGAGTTAAGTTAAAAACTAATTAATATTTGTTAATATTTACCGTCAGCGGATCAGGATGTTATAAGAAGCGGGATACAAATTTCAAAAAGCATTACAGGAGAAGAAGTCTTCAAATTAGGCAGAGGGTTTACTTATGACGTATACTGTATATTCCAACGATCTGGCAACGTTGCTCGAGCGACATTGCCGTATCGCTGGTATATACTTTTATGCAATAGAAGTAGGGTATTCCCATAAAGTACAATCTTTGTCGCAATTGTATTGATTTTAACTACGATGTGTTTCATAATAATTTGTTATAATTTTAAAAATCGGTAGATTAAGTCGTATATCGGTAGACTATCTTCTGTATCGGTAGATTTACCGATAAATTGGTAGGGTTGGCAATGCTGGTTATGATCGACCATTGCGACGAAAGTATTCAATTTTGGCATTTTGATGATTTTCACGTCCTAACTGCAATATGGTTACAACTGAGCAAATTCTAATTATGGATTATGTCTTTATGGTTCATTCTAAACAATTTATGTCTAAAACATTTTCCTGCATCACCTTTAGTTTATCAGTTATCACCTACTTGAACAACGAAAGTATTCAACGACGATTTTCACGTCTTAACTAGAATATGGTTATAACCGAACAAGATCTGCTTATGAATCATGTCTCTTTGGTTCATAATAAACAGTTTATATACAAAGCATTTTTCTGCATCACTTTTAGTTTGTCAGTTATCACCTATGTTAGCGACGAAAGTATTCAATTTTTACATTTTGACGATTTTCACTTCCTAACTAAAATATGGTTATAACCGAGCAAGATCTGCTTATGAATCATGTCTCCTTGGTCCATAATAAACAATTTATGTACAAAACATTTTTCCGCATCACTTTTAGTTTGTCAGTTATCACCTATGATAGCGACAAAAGTATTCAATTTTTGCATTTTGACGATTTTCACCTCCTAACTGGAACATGGTTATATCTAAGCAAGATCTGCTTATGAATCATGTCTCCTTGGTCCATAATAAACAATTTATGTACAAAACTTTTTTCTGCATCACTTTTAGTTTGTCAGTTATCACCTATGTTAGCGACGAAAGTATTCAATTTTTGCATTTTGACGATTTACACTTCCTAACTAGAATATGGTTATAACCGAGCAAGATCTGCTTATGAATCATGTCTCCTTGGTCCACAATAAACAATTTATGTACAAAACTTTTTTCTGCATCACTTTTAGTTTGTCAGTTAGCGACGAAAGTATTCAAATTTGCATTTTGACGATTTTCACGTCCTAACTAGAATATGGTTATAACTAAGCAAGATCTGCTTATGAGTCATGTCTCCTTGGTCCATAATAAACAATTTATGTACAAAACTTTTTTCTGCATCACTTTTAGTTTGTCAGTTATCACCAGAGCCGCGATGTTTCGGGCTGTTGATGTCACCATCTGTATAGAACAGCGAACGGGTTATAGCGTAGTAGTAACATGCTTTTATCGAACACATCGATGTGCCGCAACGTAACGATACTGGCTGAATGCTGGCCTATGCAAAATTTGGGGGGGTTCTCTGCGGTGCAGCGTTCAATACGTGTTTGGCCGATTGTCTGACTAAAACTCAACCAGTGGCGTGGTATACTATATGTGACGTGATGTGGTCCGAGTGTCTACCGTAAAGCGACGAGCCGCCAATGAGTTGCCCGACAACGTCGCGGCTCTGGTTATCACCTACTTATCAACGAAAGCATTCAATTTTGGCATTTTGACGATTTTCACTTCCTAACTAGAACATGGTTATATCTAAGCAAGATCTGCTTATGGATCATGTGTCTTTGGTCCATAATAAACAATTTATGTACAAAACATTTTTCTGCATCACTTTTAATTTGTCAGTTATCACCTATGTTAGCGACGAAAGTATTCAATTTTTGCATTTTGACGATTTTCACCTCCTAACTAAAATATGGTTATAACTGAACAAGATCTGCTTATGAATCATGTCTCCTTGGTCCATAATAAATAATTTATGTTCAAAACTTTTTTCTGCATCACTTTTAGTTTTCGAGTTATTTCCAGATTGAGAAAAAATGGGACTCTATGAACCAATTCATCATAACAGATATGCACCGAATCCTCAAAACTGAGGCTTTATCCGGCTCGTTCGCTTTAACATCGAATGTGTCATCCCCAGATGAGATTAACGACAAATTTAACACGATTACTTACGCAGCTGGGGCCTCAATAGTGCGAATGATGCATTTCATCCTAGGGGATAAACCTTTTTTGTTGGGAATTCGAGAATATTTAAAAACGCAGTAATAATATTAATTTAATTGGTTAAAATAATAAATTACGATTATCTTTTTAGTATATATAATAACACAAATCCTTCCGATCTTTGGGAGGCTCTCTCAAAACAAATTAGCCAAGATCGTTTACCCAAAAGCATCGATTTTGGCACTGTTATGAGCTCTTGGACTGAACAACCGGGTATTCCAGTCGTTTTTGCTAAATTAATGGGGAAAGAAATCGTGCTAACTCAGGTAATTATAATTATACTAATCATTAAAAAAAATCTAACGAATTAACTCATTTTTAGAAAAGATTTTTAATAAATGAGACCTCAAATGATTCCAACTCAACGTGGTTCATCCCAATAACTTTTACAACTTCTTCATTAATTAATTTCACCGATACCAGCATAGAATGGTTAATTAAAAACGATTCTTTAACGATTAACCCAAATTTAAGAGGCCCCTCCGATTGGATTATCTTCAATTTGAAACAATTCGGATTTTACCGAGTTCTTTACGACGAAAATCTCCAATCACGGTTAATCAATCAATTAAAATCGGAGGGTTTTGTCGATATCGATGTTATGAATCGGGCCCAAATAGTTGATGACTTATTTAATTTCGCCCAAACGAAATTAATCAAATACGGCCAAGTGCTAGATATGACCATGTATTTGACGAGGGAATCCGATTATTACCCTTGGTACGCTGCGATAACGGGATTTAACTATTTAATCCGCCAAAGCGGATCGAATAAGTTGCTAATTAAGCATATTAAGTACGTGTCGAAAAATTTTTATGAATCGGTCTCATTTAACATGGGAAAAAATATTTCTTACGTGGATATTTTAAGAACAGAGTTGGCTTTGAGTTTTGCGTGCAGCTTGGATCACGAGGATTGCATCAAGAAGTCAATTGAGCTATTTGAAGGCTACAAGAAAGGAAAATCGTGAGTATAATTTAATTTAGTTCTAATAAATTTTCGGATCTTGTGGGTAGAGGACGAATCAGAAAATCGGAACGTGTCAGAAAAAAAGTTTTAATACAAAAGTTGTAGCAAATTTCATTCTTAACAATATCACTCTCTTACACTTTTTCTCCCAGAGGCATAGAAATCGAGATAACTTCGAAAATTAATTAGATGAAATCGTGGTTTTGGATCTTGTTCGTATAGGACGAATCAGAAAATCGGAACGTGTCAGAAAAAAAATTTTCATATAAAAGTTGTAGCAAATTTAATTCTTAACAATATACCTCTTTTACACTTTTTCTCCTAGATGCATAGAAATCGAGAAAAAATCGAAATTCAATTAGATAAAATCGAGGTTTAGGATCTTGTGGGTATAGGACGAATCAGAAAATAGGAACGATTTAGAAAAAAAGTTTTAGTATAAAAGTTGTAGCCAATTTAATTCTTAACAATATACCTCTTTTATACTTTTTCTCCCAGATGCATAGAAATCGAGAAAAATTCGAAATTAAATCAGATAAAATCGTGGTTTTGGATCTTGTGGGTAGAGGATGAATCAGAAGTTTTAGAAAAAAAGTTTTAATATAAAAGTTGTAGCAAATTTCATTCTTAACAATATCACTTTCTTACACATTTTTTCCCAGAAGCATAGAAATCGAGAAAAATTCGAAATTCAATTCGATAAAATTGTGATTTTGGATCTTAGTGGTATAGGACGAATCAGAAAATCGGAACGTTTTAGAAAAAAAGTTTTAATATAAAAGTTGTAGCAAATTCAATTCTTAACAATATACCTCTTTTACACTTTTACTCCCAGAGGCATAGAAATCGAGAAAAAATCGAAATTCAATTAGATAAAATCGAGGGTTTGGATCTTGTGGGTATAGGACGAATCAGAAAATCGGAACGTTTTAGAAAAAAAGCTTTAGTATAAAAGTTGTAGCAAATTTAATTCTTAACAATATCACTCATTTACACTTTTACACTCAGATGCATAGAAATCGAGAAAAATTCGAAATTCAATTAGATAAAATCGTCGTTTTAGATCTTGTTGGTAGAGGATGAATCAGAAATTCGGAACGTGTCAGAAAAAAAAGTTTTAAGACAAAAGTTGTAGCAAATTTCATTTTTAACAATATACCTCTTTTACACTTTTTCTCCCAGACGCATAGAAATCGAGATAAATTCAAAATTCAATTAGATAAAATCGTGGTTTTGGATCTTGTAGGTATAGGACGAATCAGAAATTCGGAACGTTTTAGAAAAAAAGTTTTTATATAAAAGTTGTAACAAATTTCATTCTTAATAATATTACTCTTTAACACTTTTACTCTCAGATGCATAGAAATCGAGAAAAATTCGAAAAGGTGACAATTAGATGAAATCGTGGTAATACATCCTGTTATTGGTAGAGGAAAAAATTCAGAATATTATCTTATAACTTTTATATCATATCATAAACTAGAATGTTTAAGCTACAATTTAACATGTGTATTATATCGTGATTCTTAAAAATGGAGATGATATGATTTTTTGAAAATTTCGTATAATTTTGATTCATAAATTTGACAGTTTCCTCTTTTATAATTTTTTTTTCAAAATTTTAATAATATTATCTTATAACTTTTATATCATATCATAAACTAGAATGTTTAAGCCACAATTTAACANACTAGAATCTTCAAGCTTTAATTTAGCATATATTTCATATCATTATACATAAAGATATAGAAAATATGATTTTTTGAAAATTTCTCTTTTATTTATAAATTTGACAATTTTTTCTTCAATAATTTTTTCCTTAAATTTCTAATAATATCATATTACAATTTTTGTATCATATCATAAATTAGAATCTTCAAGCTTTAATTTAGCATATATTTCATGTCATTATACATAAAAATATAGAAAATATGATTTTTTTTGAAAATTTCTCTTTTATTTATAAATTTGACAATTCCTTCTTCAATAATTTTTTCTTCAAAATTTTCTAACCAATTTGTTTCAATTTTAGCATAAACCCCAACTTACGATCCATAGTGTATTGCAGCGCCTTAAGGAAATCCCACACCACCGAAAATTGGAACTTTTTATGGAACAAATACTTAAACGCAACTTTACCAACAGAAAGAGAAATAATGCTAAACAGCTTAGCTTGCACCAGAGAAAGAAACACTTTAACACAATACTTAACAAAAACGATTACCACAAATTCAGGAATTCGCAAGCAAGATTCTTCCTTCGTATTTAAAGCCATTTTGACTGGTCCAATCGGATTTGAAGTGGGTTATAAATTCTTTAAAGATAATTTTGCTGCAATAATCAAATATTACGATGATATGAGTGTTATTACTGGTTTAATTACAACAATTTCTGGACGTATAACGACAGTTGATGCATTAAACGATGTAAGTATTTATTTGGGTCAATTTTAATTTGTTTATGGGTTTAATTTTTTTCTAGTTTGAGAAATTTCTGGATGATCATAAGAGAGAATTAAAAGAGGGTGCTAGCCATGTCAAAAATGCTTTGGAAACGATTAGATCGAATCTGAAGTGGCCTAAAGAAGATGTTTTGAGTTGGTTAAATACCCAGTATGGTTCATCTTCGGTTGTTAAAGTTAATGTACTTGTGGTTATTTTAGGATTAGGGTTAGTTTGGATTAATTGTTATTGAGTTAGAGATAATTGAGGTAATTATGGGTTATTATATTATGTTGGTTATATAAACAAATATATTTAATTAGTTGATGAAGTTAATAAAAATCATATTTTCTATATTTTTGTGTATAATGATATGAAATATATGTTAAATTAAAGCTTGAAGATTCTAGTTTATGATGTGATTTAAAAATTGTAATATGATATTATTGAAATTTTCAGGAAAAAATTATTAAAGAAGAAATCGTCAAATTTATAAACAAAAGAGAAATTTAAAAAAATCATATTTTCTATATTTTTATGTATAATGATATGAAATATATGTTAAATTAAAGCTTGAAGATTCTAGTTTATGATATGACACAAAAACTGTAATATGATATTATTGAAATTTTCAGGAAAAAAATTATTGAAGAAGAAATTGTCAAATTTATAAATAAAAGAGAAATCTTCAAAAAATCATATTTTCTATATTTTTATGAATAATGATATGAAATATATGCTAAATTAAAGCTTGAAGATTCTAGTTTATGATATGATATGAAAATTGTAGTNATGGAGAAGATATGATTTTTTGAAAATTTCGTATAATTTTGATTCATAAATTTGACAGTTTCCTATTTAATAATTTTTTTTTCAAAATTTTAATAATATTATCTTATAACTTTTATATCATATCATAAACTAGAATGTTTAAGCCACAGTTTAACATATGTATTATATCATGATTCTCAAAAATGGAGATGATATGATTTATTGAAAATTTCGTTTAATTTTGATTCATAAATTTGACAGTTTCCTTCTTAATAATTTTTTTTTCAAAATTTTAATATTATCTTATAACATTTATATCATATCATAAACTAGAATGTTTAAGTCACAATTTAACATATGTATCATATCATGATTCTTAAAAATAGAGATAATATGATTTTTTGAAAATTTCGTATAATTTTTGATTCATAAATTTGACAGTTTCCTCTTTAATAATTTTTATTTTCAAAATTTTAATTATATTATCTTATAACTTTTAAATCATATCATAAACTAGAATCTTCAAGCTTTAATTTAACATATATTTCGTATCATTATACATAAAAATATAGAAAATATGATTTTTTGAAAATTTCTCTTTTATTTATAAATTTGACAATTTCTTCTTCAATAATTTTTTCCTGAAAATTTCAATAATATCATATTACAATTTTTGTGTCATATCATAAACTACAATCTTCAAGGTTTAATTTAACATATATTTCATATCATTATACATAAAAATATAGAAAATATGATTTTTTGAAAATTTCTCTTTTATTTATAAATTTGACAATTTCTTCTTCAATAATTTTTTCCTGAAAATTT